TTTTTTTTTTTTTTTTTTTAGTTTTAGATTAGCATTTCTGTTGAGGCTATATTTATTTTATTTCTTTTTTTTTTTATTTTATTTTTTTATTCTTTATTTTTGTTGTGGAGAAATCTCCACTGGTTTGAATAGTAATATACAGTCATCCAATGCATAAGAATAAGGATTAAACATGACATTAAGTAGTAATATATATGAGACAATCTTGGTGCACCCTCTCAGGTGGGTGCAAGATTTAAGAAGTGTGTAGATAAAACAGAAGACATAGGACATACTAGTCTGTGTCTCACGTTAGCTGTTCTTATATGTGTAAAAAATGTAATATTACGTGGCTCTCTAGCCGCTCATGAGGGTTTTGGGCCATTACATAGATGTGGCGTACCAGGCGCCGGAGGGGGTTGCACATTCCCAATGTGATAGAACCCGCGAACAGCACTTTAGGGGGTTATTAGATTGGTGTAGCGTGCTAGTTGTTCTAGCGGGCTCAAAGTGTACTTTACGGGTTTTAAATCTCCGACAGGCCCTACAGGCTTGCGACCATCAGGTTGGTCTGATATTGTCGGCCGCCCAAGCGGGCTCGTAGCAGGCAATACGGGGTACCTCCTGAGCGAGTCATGTAGGGTCGGAAGCATAATGACCTCCCTTATGAGTTTAAAGGATAAATATTGTGGTACTTCATACTAGTGACTCTTGCGAAGTTAAAAGTAGCGCATATTGGTAGGGCACTAGCGGCTCGTGTAAATGTAATACGTACTTATTGTTAAAACATGTAGGTAACTTTTATAACATTTAAGTAAACATAGTGGTAGAACACATTAGTAGCTCATGTGGTGTTAGGGTAGACGTGTTAACCGCACTCGGAGGTAGCTCCAGTGCATTGTGTATAAGGTTTTGCAGTAGAATATATAAGTACCTCTTATGGGGTTAAGTCACATAAGTAAAATTCTAGTCAACAGTGCTAGTAGTACACATTAAGTAAAAGCGTCTCTCTGTGGATCTGAAATAGTTAATAGTGAAGACAGCCGTGGGAGCATCAACTGAGGGATTAAAATAGTGAGATCCCCCCTCCCAAAAAAAACCAAAAAAACCCCACAAATTTAAAAAACAAATATTTAAGGTTAGTCTCTTGTTGCGCAGCCGGCCTTAAGTCTCTTTTGGGCCTCTGTTCTGGCCTGTCAAGTTTCTTAGCTGCCTCCCTTCAGGGTTACCCGACCTATGGAGGGCGCTGATGTAGTGGTCGCCGTTTCACTGTTGCTGTGCCAGGGTTTTCTTCCCTCTCGGTGGTGTGAGTGTCGGTTGGTAAAGTCCTGTGCTCCGTGGGCACCGGGGGGCGATGGCTGTGGTAATTGGAGCTTCTCTAGGAAGGCCGCCGGATCCTCTGCCGCGGACAGCGTCAACACTGCGTCTCCGTGTGGTACCACCAGGGTACCTGATGTGCCCCATCTATACCTGACTCCGTGGTCTCTGAGGAGTTTGGTGACTGGCATGAATCTGCGTCTCTCCAGCAGGACAGCGAAAGGTAGGTCATCAAAGATTCTCACTTGGCAGTTTTCGACAGCTATGAGGGGTGTGCTCTGTGAGCTGGTCAGCATCGCTGTCTTCACTGCCGGGCTCCGGGTGACCGCGATGATGTCCCAGGGGGCGTCCACAGGGGCTGTTGCGGCCTTCCGTATGCGGAACGCATGGGACACGGGCGGCAGCCCACCCTCTCCTCTAACCTCCAGTACAGCGGCCATTTTATTGGCAAAATCTAGTGCTGACTCCTGTCCCACCGTCTCTGTCACCCCTCTTATACGTATGTTTTTCTTTCGGTGCCTAGCCTCAATGGTAGTGACGGCCCGGGTGAGTCGCTGGAGCTGCTGGGAGAGATCTGCTATGTGAGCTCGGGTCTCTGTGAGGTTGGTGTCCCTTTCTTTCTCTCTTGTCTCGACTGCTCCCAACCTGGCCATGATGCCGCCCATCTCTCCACGCACCCCATCTAGGTCCTTCTTCCAGACCCCACGGAGCTCGAGCAGGAGCCTCTTAATGTCCCCCTTGGTGGAGGGCGACGTGTCTGAGTCGGAGTCCTCTCTCTGATAAACTCTGCTGAGGGCCCGTGTGGACATCGAGCCCTCTTCATCTGGGGACGTCTCTGACTCGCTGGATCCTCGAGGCCTGGCAGGCGCCATCTTAGGCTGCGCTGTCTGCTGCGGCCTATCGAATGACCTCCTGATATCTGGAAGTTTAGAAGCCTCCGATGCCAGTAATTTGCGGTGCTTGCGCCCCATCTCTCTCTTGGGGGGTTCAGTGTCACCCCTGTCTTGGTTATAGGGTGAGCTGTGTGTTTTTCGTGGCGTTTTTGGGGGTATTTTCGGTGTGTTTAGCAGGAGCTCCCTGCAAACACATCTGCTCAGTTGCACGGCTGGCCACGCCCCCCCACCGAAGGTTGTTTTGACACTTTCTACGTAGCCACTTCACTGCCAACCTCTGCTAAATATTGGAGTAAAATGGTGTTTTTTTTGGTTTTTGGCACACAAACTTATAACAAAGAAATTCTCATGTGTATTTTGTAAAGTTGGTATTCCTGTACAAAGTTTTATTTTGTGTTTAGTTACATCTGCTGAGTAAAATGACACCCCCACTGTATGTCTTTGGCACTATTTCGTGAAGCTACAGTGCCATATAGGAGACCTGTCCTTTTCAGTATTTACAGTAGAATTTTGAGAGACGGATTTAATGAGCCTTTGCTTCCATTTGGTGTATTATAACAGTTTAACTGTTCAAAAAAAAAAAAACAACAAAGGCCTACCATTTGTAAAAGTAGACACTCCAGGGTATCTCATAAGGTGCATATTGTGCCTTAATATGCCCCCATTTTTTCACCAATAGATGCCAAAGTATGTGGTAAAAAATAATTTTGTGCGTTTTACATATGGATTGCATTTTTGCTGGGCATTTTGTATATTTCACATGTGCCACTAAGTTCAAGCCCCCAAATTATGTTCAGCTAAGTCTTCTGAGTAAAATGACACCCCCATTGTATGTCTTTGGCACTATTTTGTGAAGCTACAGTGCCATATAGGAGACCAAACCATATCAGTTTTTACCGAACTTTTTAATTTTGACGCTGGGTCTATGTGCAATTTCCAAGCATCTTAGCAGGGTTTAAATTCAAACTATCCCACAAAGGCCTACCATTTCTTAAAGTAGACACCCCAGGGTATTTCAAAAGGTATATTCTAAACCTTAGCGTGGGATCATTTTTCCGCTAGCTTGTACCAAGTGTAGTGGTAATAAGTGTTTTTTCTGCCTTTTTGACACACAAAGTGAGCTTCCAGTGTATAATACTTCATATGTTGCTCAGCTATGTCGTCTGAGTACAGCAATACCACCGTATGTACCTTTGCCAGGTATATGTGGATGTTGAAGGGGCGCATTTGAGACACAGCCATTCAGTTTTTTTCTAACTTTGAAATTTTACGCTGTGTCCATGTTCCAATTTGGAGTA